CACCCTGTTGTGAACCGTGCATGTGAGGGATCTAGGTTGTGCTGTCCCTATGAGAATCTAATGCCTAATGATCTGTCACTTTCTCCCGTCATGCTCAGATGGGACCATCTAGTCGCAGGAAAACAAGCTTAACATGCCCACTGATTCTACATTATGGTGAGTTCTATAATTACTTTACTGTATATCACAATTTAATAGTGGAAATAAAGTACCTAATAAATGTAAATGTAATATGCTTGAATCTTTTGGCCCAGGTCTTGCCTCCCGGCAGCCTCTCCAGGCCCAGAACTTTCTCCAGTTGGCCTTTACAGACCAAGCTCATGACTCACAATGGTCTATTTAGGCCCATACCCTACCTTACGGCAGTCTCCGCAGATGAGGCTACTGCCTCACAACAGCATCCACAGGCCCAGCTCCATCGTTACGACAGCCTCTTTAGGCCCAGCTCCAGCCTCCCAGTCTTCTCTCCAGGCCCAGAACTTTCTCAAGTCAACCTCACCAGACCCAGCTCCTGCCTCTCATTGCCATCCCTGGGCCAGCTTTTGCCTCAGGGCCACCTTCCAAGACCCAGCTCCTGTTTTACAGTGGCCTCTTGAGGCCCATCTTCTGACTCCCGGCAGCCTGTACAGGCCCAGCTCCTGCCTTACAGTAGCCTCTTAAGTCCCAGCTCCTGCCTCTTTGCAGGAGGCCCAAATGTCCTCAAGTCTAGGCCACAAAATCCAGGCCCAAAATATCCACAAGTCGGCCTCTCAAGGCCCCGCTCCTGCCTTTCGTTGGCCTCTCCAGGCCCAGCTGCTGCCCCCAGATGGCCTCTACAGGCTGCACTTTTACTTCTGGCTGTGCCTGGAGGCCCAACTCCTGCCTCAGAACAACCTCTTTTGGCTCAGCTCCTGCCCAGCTCCTAGTGGCCTTTGAAGACCCAAAAGTGCCTCAAGTCAAACTTTCCAGGTCCACCCTCTGCCTCCCAGTGGCCTGGACAGGCCCAGCTCCTACGTGACAATGGCCTCTCCAGGCCCAGCTTTTGCCTCACGGACATCTTCCCCAAACAAGCTCCTACCTGCCTCCTGGCCACTTTGACGGGCCCAGATCCTGCCTCACACTAACCTCATTACGCCCAGCTCATGCCTCACTGTGGCCTGTCCACGCCCAGGTCCTGCCCCTCGACAGGCTGTCCGTGCCCGAAACTTCTTCAAGTCAGCCTCTCCAGTCACAGCTCCTGCCCAGCATTGGCCTCTTTAGGCAGAGCTCTTGCCTTGGTGGCCTCTCCAGGCCTCTCCAGGCCCAGCTCCTGCATCCTGGCAGCTTCTGTAGACCAAGAACTTTCTCAGGTCCGCCATCCCAGGCCCAAGTCCTGCCTCCTGTCAGCCTCTATAGGCTCAACCTCTGCCTCACAGGAGACTTTCCTGGCCACCTAGGCCAAGCTACTGCCTTTCAGCAGCCTCTGCAGGCCCAGCTCCTGCCTCTCAATGACCTCTCTAGAGCAAGCTCATGCCTCACAGTGGCCATTCTGGCTCAGCTTTTGCCTTTTGGCAGCATCTCCAGGCCCAGAACCTCCTCAAGTGGGCCTCTCCAGGGCTTCCTCAATAGGACCTTCCTTAAATAGGTCCAGCTCCTGCGTGACCATGGCTTCTCCAGGCTCAGCTCTTGCCTAACGGAGTTCATCCTTGGCCAAGTTCCTGCCTGCCTCCCAGCAGGCTCAAAAGGCCCAGCTCCTGCCCCCGACAGTCTTTCCAGGACAAAATCTTCCTCAGGTCGGCCTCTACAGGCTGGTCTCTTGCCTCACACTGGCCTCTCCAGGCCCAGCTCCTGCATCTTGGCAGCCTATCCAGGCCCAGCTCTTGCCTCGTGGCAGCTGCCCCAGGCCAACTTTCTGACTGCCTGCCAGCAGCCTCAACAGGCACAGTTCGTCCCTCACACTGGCCTGTTTAGGCCCAACTCATGACTGTCAGGCCCTATCCAGGCCCAGTGCCTGCTTTCTGACTGACTCTTGAAGCCCCAAACTTCCTCAAATCAGCCTTTTTAGGCCCACCTTCTGTCTACTGTCGGACTCTACAGGCCAGCCTCTGCCTCACAGTGGACCCTCCAGACCCAGATCATGTCTTACCGTGGCATCCTCAGGTGAAGATCCTGCCTTTCGACAGCTTCTACAGGGCCATCTCCTGCCTTGCAATGGCCTCTTTAGGCCAAGCTCATGCCCCATGGCGACTTTTCCAGGCACAGATTTTGCCTTTTGCAGCCTGTCCAGGCCCAGAATGTCCTCAACTCGGCATCTCTGGGACGAGTTCATTCTCCCAGCTGCATCTACAGGCCCATTTCCTGCCTCAAAACAACTTCCTTTGGCCCAACTCCTGCCGAGCTGCTGGCAGCCTCTGTAGGCCAGAGACTTCTTAAAGTAAAGCTTTCCAGGCCCACCTTCGGCCTCCCGGCAGCCTCAGCAATCAAACTATTCCCTCATGGCAGCTACAAAAAGCCAAGTTTCTCCCTGCCTCACGACATCCTCCAAAAACTGAGCATTTGCCTCACGGCAGCCTCCCCAGGCCACAAATCTGCTTGTCTCCCAGCAGTCTTGACAAGTCCAGCTGCTGCCTCACAATGGCCCCTTTAGGCCCAGCTCATGCCAAAAGATGGACTCTCCAGAGATAACTATTGCCTCCTGGCAGCCTCTGCAGGCCCCAATTGTCCAAAAGTTGGCCTCTTCCAACCCAGCTCCTACCTCATGTCAGCATGCACAGGCCCAAACTCTACCACACAGTGGCCCTTCCAGGCCCACCTGATCGTGGCCTCCTCAAGTGAAGCTCCAGCCTCACAATGGACTCTGTAGGCCAAGATCATGTGTCCCGGTGGCCTTTCCTAGTTTAACTTATGCTTTTTGATGCTTACTCCAGGCCCAAAACTTCTTCCATTCAGCATGTCCAGGCCAAGATCTTCCTCCAAAAGGCCTCTGCAGGCCCAAATCATCCTGAAGTCAGCCTCTGCAGGCCCAGGTCCTGCCTCCCAGTGCTGTGTAGGTCAAGCTAATGCCTCACAGCAGGCTTTCCAGGCGGAGCGTTTGCTTTTGTGTATCCTCTCCATGCCCTCAAATTACTCCAGTCGGTCTCTCTAGGCCCAGCTCTTCCTCCCAGCAGCCAAATTGTCCTCAATTCGGCCTCTCCAGGACCAACTCCTGCCTTCTGGAGGCTTCTGCAGGCTAAAATCGACCTCACGTCAGCCTCTTTAGGCCCGGCTCTTGCCTCTAAGTAGACGCTCCAGGTGCACACCTGCCTCAAGTCAGCCTCTCCAGGCCCAACTCCTGCCTCCCTGTGGCCTCTTTAGGACCAACTGATTCTACATAACGGATTTTCCAGGCCCAGTTTTGCCCTGTGCTTCCCAAGGCCCAGAACGTCCTCATGTCGGACTCACCAGACCCATTTGCTGCCTCATGATGTTCTCCACTGGCCCGGGCCTTCCTTGCGACTGTATTTATAGACCCAACTTCAGCCACACAACAACCTCTGTGGACGTAGCCCCTGCCCAGTTCCTGATGGCCTGTATATGCCGAAAACTTCCACAACCCAAGCTCCTCAGGCCACATGGGAGTCTCTGCAGGCCCAAACCATCCTAAAGTTGGCCAGTCCAGGTCTAGCTACTGACTCCTGACGGCCTCTGTAGACCCAGTCTGTGCTTCATGGTAACCTCCTCAGACCAAGGTCTTCCTCCTGGATTCATATACACGCTCAATTCCTGGCTCACAAAAAACAACTTCTTTTGGCTAAGCTACTGCAAACCTCCTTCCAGCATCTGTAGGCCAGAAACTTTCTCCAGTGAAGGTGATTCGGCCTCCCCAGTCCAGAGCTCCTCCTACCTTCTGGTAGCTTCGACAGGCCCCGCTTCTGCCTCCCAGTGGCCTCACTAGGCCCAGCCCATTCGACACGGGGAACGGCCTTTCCAGGCCCAGCCTTTGCCTTTTGGCGGCCTCTCCAGGCCCCGAACTTCCTCAGGCCGGCCTCTCCAGGCCCAGTGGCGGCCTCCCGGCCTCCCGTCCAGGCCCAGCTCCTCCTGCTCCCGGCTGCGGCCGCGGGCCCAGCCCCGGCCTCACGACAACCTCTTTGGGCTCGGCTCAGGCCCAGCGCACGCTCCGCGGCCTTCGTAGGCCCCAAACGTCCTGAAGCCAGGCTCCACGGTGGCCTCACCGGGCCCGGCTCCAGCCCTCCAACGACGTCTCCACGCCTTAGACTTCCCCCAGCCAGCCTCTCCAGGCCCAGCTCCTCCTGCCGGCGGCCTCTGCAGGCCCACGCTGGCCTCGAGTCTCGGCCTCTCCAGGGGTCGCTCCTGCTCCCGGCGCCCCCTGCGGGCCCAACCCGTCGCCCAGTCGGCCTCCGCCGGCCCAGCTCCTGCCTCTCCGCGGCCTCCCCAGCTGCCAGGCTTCCTCAGGTCAGCCTCTCCAGGCCCAGCTCCTCCTGCCTGCCACTGGCCTCTTGAGGCCCAGCCCCGCTCACGCCTCTGGGCGGCCTCCTGAGGCCCAGGACTTGACCTCCAGTCGGCCTCGCCAGGCCCAGCCTCCTGCCTCCCGAAGGCCTGCACAGGCCCAGCCTCTGCCTCCCAGCGGACTCTCCAAGCCCAGCTCTCGCCTGACTGCTGCCTCCCCACGCCAGAACTCCTCCTGTCTTTCGGCCGCTGTGCCGGCCCCGCTCCTGCCTCCCAGTGGCCTCACTGGGCCCCGCTCATTCGTCACGGGGACGGCCTTTCCAGGCCCAGCCTTTGCCTTTTGGCGGCCTTTCCAGGCCCCGAACTTCCTCAGGCCGGCCCCTCCAGGCCCAGTTGCGGCCTCCCGGCCTCCCGTCCGTGCCCAGCTCCTCCTGCTCCCGGCTGCGGCCGCGGGCCCTGCCCCGGCCTGAAGACAACCTCTTTGGACTCGGCTCCGGCCCAGCTCCCGCTCCGCGGCCTTTGTAGGCCCCAAACGTCCTGAAGCCGGGCCCCACGGTGGCCTCTCCAGGCCCGGCTCCTGCCCTCCGACGGCGTCTCCACGCCCCAGACTTCCTCCAGCCAGCCTCTCCAGGTGCAGCGCCTCCTCCCGGCGGCCTCTGCAGGCCCACGCTGGCCTCGAGTCGGCCTCTCCAGGGGTCGCTCCTGCTCCCAGCGGCCCCTGCGGGCCCAACTCGTCACCCAGTCGGCCTCCGTCGGCCCAGCTCCTGCCTCTCCGCGGCCTCTCCAGCTGCCAGACCACCTCAGGTCAGCCTCCCCAGGCCCAGCTCCTCCTGCCTGCCACTGGCCTTTTGAGGCCCAGCCCCGCTCACGCCTCTGGGCGGCCTCCTCAGGCCCAGGACTTGCCCTCCAGTCGGCCTCGCCAGGCCCAGCTTCCTGCCTCCCGAAGGCCTGCACAGGCCCAGCCTCTGCCTCCCAGCGGACTCTCCACGCCCAGCTCTCGCCTGAGTGCGGCCTCCCCAGGCCAGATCTTCTCCTACCTTTGGGCAGCTGCGCCAGGCCCCGTTCCTGCCTCCCAGTGGCCTCACTAGGCCCCACTCATTCGTCATGGGTAACGGCCTTTCCGGGCCCAGCCTTTGCCTTTTGGCGGCCTCTCCAGGCCCCGAACTTCCTTAGGCCGGCCTCTCCAGGCCCAGTAGTGGCCTCCCGGCCTCCCGTCCGTGCCCAGCTCCTCCTGCTCCAGGCTGCGGCCGCGGGCCCAGCCCCGGCCTCACGACAACCTCTTTGGACTCGGCTCAGGCCCAGCGCCCGCTCCGCGTCCTTTGTAGGCCCCAAACGTCCTGAAGCCGGGCTCCACGGTGGCCTCTCCGGGCCCGGCTCCAGCCCTCCAACGACGTCTCCACGCCTTAGACTTCCCCCAGCCAGCCTCTCCAGGCCCAGCTCCTCCTCCCGGCGGCCTCTGCAGGCCCACGTTGGCCTCGAGTCGGCCTCTCCAGGGCTCGCTCCTGCTCCCGGCGGCCCTGCGGGCCCAACTCGTCACCCAGTCGGCCTCCGCCGGCCCAGCTCCTGTCTCTCCGCGGCCTCTTCAGCTGCCAGACTTCCTCAGGCCAGCCTCTCCAGGTCCAGCTCCTCCTGCGTGCCACTGGCCTCTTGAGGCCCAGCCGTGCTCACGCCTCTAGGGGGCCTCCTCAGATCCAGGTCTTGTCCTCCAGTCGGCCTCGCCAGGCCAAGCCTCTTGCCTCCCGAAGGCTCGCAAGGGTCCAGCCTCTGCCTCCCAGCAGACTCTTCACTCCCAGCTCCCGCCTGGCTGCGGCCTCCCCAGCCCAGAGCTCCTCCTGCCTTTCGGAAGCTCCGCCGGGTCCCGCTCCTTCCTTCCAGTGGCCTCACTAGGCCCGACTCATTCGTCACGGGGATCGGCCTTTCCAGGCCCAGCCTTTGCCTTTTGGCGGCCTCTCCAGGCTCCGAACTTCCTCAGGCCGGCCTCTCCAGGCCCAGTTGTGGCCTCCCGGCCTCCCATCCAGGCCCAGCTCCTCCTGCTCCCGGCTGAGGCCGCGGGCCCAGCCCCGGCCTCACGACAACCTCTTTGGACTCGGCTCCGGCCCAGCTCCCCCTCCGCGGCCTTTGAAGGCCCCAAACGTCGTGAAGCCGGGCCCCACGTTGGCCTCCCCGGGCCCGGCTCCTACCCTCCGACGGGGTCTACATGCCCCAGTCTTCCTCCAGCCAGCATCTCCAGGCCCAGCTCCTCCTGCCTGCCACTGGCCTCTTGAGGCCCAGCCCCGCTCACGCCTCTGGACGGCCTCCTCAGGCCCAGGACTTGACCTCCAGTCGGCCTTGCCCGGCCCAGCCTCCTGCCTCCCGAAGGCCTGCACAGGCCCAGCCTCTGCCTCCCAGCGGACTCTCCACGCCCAGCTCTCGCCTGACTGCGGCCTCCCCAGGCCAGAGCTCCTCCTGCCTTTCGGCAGCACCGCCGGGACCCGCTCCTGCCTCCCAGTGGTCTCACTAGGCCCGGCTCATTCGTCAAGGGAACGAACTTTCCAGGCCCAGACTGTGCCTTTTGGCGGCCTCTCCAGGCCAAGAACTTCCTCAAGCTGCCCTCTCCAGGCCCAGTTGCGGCCTCCCGGCCTCCCGTGGGGACCCAGCTCCTCCTGTTCATGGCTGCGGCCGCGGGCCCAGCTCCGGCCTCACAACAACCTCTTTGGACTCGGCTCCGGCCCAGCTCCCGTTCCGCGGCCATTGTAGGCCCCAAACATCCTAAAGTCGGGCCCCACGGTGGCCTCTCCGGGCCCGGCTCCTGCCCTCCGACGGCGTCTCCACGCCCCAGACTTCCTCTGGCCAGCCTCTCCAGGCCCAGCTACTCCTCCCGGCGGCCTCTGCAGACCCACGCTGGCCTCGAGTCGGCCTCTCCAGGGCTCGTTCCTGCTCCCGGCGGCCCCTGCGGGCCCAACTCGTGGCCCAGTCGGCCTCCGCCGGCCCAGCTCCTGCCTCTCCGCGGCCTCCCCAGCTGCCAGACTTCCTCAGGTCAGCCTCTCCAGGCCCAGCTCCTCCTGCCTGCCACTGGCCTCTTGAGGCCCAGCCCCGCTCACACCTCTGGGCGACCTCCTCAGGCCCAGGACTTGACCCCCAGTCGGCCTCGCCAGGCCCAGCCTCCTGCCTCCCGAAGGCCTGCACAGGCCCAGCCTCTGCCTCCCAGCGGACTCTCCACGCCCAGCTCTAGCCTGACTGCGGCCTCCCCACGCCAGAGCTCCTCCTGCCTTTCGGCAGGTCCGCCGGGCCCCGCTCCTGCCTCCCAGTGGCCTCGTTAGGCCCGGCTCATTCGTCACGGGGAACGGCCTTTCCAGGCCCAGCGTGTGCCTTTCGGCGGCCTCTCCAGGCCCCGAACTTCCTCAGGCCGGCCCCTCCAGGCCCTGTTGCGGCCTCCCGGCCTCCCGTCCGGGCCCAGCTCCTCCTGCTCCCGGCTGCGGCCGCGGGTCCAGCCCCGGCCTCACGACAACCTCTTTGGACTCGGCTCCGGCCCAGTTCGCGCTCCGCGGCCTTTTAAGGCCCCAAACGTCCTGAAGCCGGGCTCCAAGGTGGCCTCCCCGGGCCCGGCTCCAGCCCTCCGACGGGGTCTACACGCCCCAGTCTTCCTCCAGCCAGCCTCTCCAGGCCCAGGTCCTCCTCCCGGCAGCCTCTGGAGGCCCAGGCTGGCCTCGAGTCGGCCTTTCCAGGGCTCGCTCCTGCTCCCGGCGGCTCCTGCGGGCCCAACTGGTCGCCTAGTCGGCCTCCGCCAGCCCAGCTCCTGCCTCTCCGTGGCCTCTCCAGCTGCCAGATTTCCTCAGGTCAGCCTCTCCAGGCCCAGCTCCTCCTGCCTGCCACTGGCCTCTTGAGGCCCAGCCCCGCTAACGCCTCTGGGCAGCCTCCTCAGGCCCAGGACTTGACCTGCAGTCGGCATCGCCAGGTCCAGCCTCCTGCCTCCCGAAGGCCTGCACAGGCCCAGCCTTTGCCACCCAGCGGACTCTCCACGCCCAGCTCTCGCCTGTCTGCGGCCTTCCCAGGCCAGAGCTCCTCCTGCCTTTCGGCAGCTCCGCCGGGCCCCGCTCCTGCCTCCCAGTGGCCTCACTAGGCCCTGCTCATTCGTCACGGGGAACGACCTTTCCGGGCCCAGCCTTTGCCTTTTGGCGGCTTCTCCAGTCCCCGAACTTCCTCAGGCCGGCCTCTCCAGGCCCAGTTGCGGTCTCCCGGCCTCCCGTCCGGGCCTAGTTCCTTCTGCTCCCGGCTGCGGCCGAGGGCCGAGCCCCGGCCTCACGACAACCTCTTTGGACTCGGCTCCGGCCCAGCTCCCGCTCCGCGGCCTTCGTAGGCCCCAAACGTCCTGAAGCCGGGCCCCACCGTGGCATCTCCGGGCCCGACTCCTGCCCTCCGACGGTGTCTCCACGCCCCATACTTCCTCCAGCCAGCCTCTCCAGGCCGAGCTCCTCCTCCCGGCGGGATCTGCAGGCACACGCAGGCCTCGAATCGGCCTCTCCAGGGCTCGCTCCTGCTCACGGCGGCCCCTGCTGGCACAACTCGTCGCCCAGTCGGCCTCCGCCGGCCCAGCTCCTGCCTCTTCGCGGCATTTCCAGCTGCCAGACTTCCTGAGGTCCGCCTCTCCAGGTCCAGCTCCTCCCGCCTGCCACTGGCCTCTTGAGGCCCAGCCCCGCTCACGCCTCTGGGCGGCCTTCTCAGGCCCAGGACTTGACCTCCAGTTGGCCCCCACAGGCTCAGCCTCCTGCCTTCCGAAGGCCTGCACAGGCCCAGCCTCTGCCTCCCAGCGGACTCTCCACGCCCAGCCCTCTCCTGACTGCGGCCTCCCCAGGCCAGAGATCCTGCTCCCTTTGGGCAGCTGCGCCGGGACCCGCTCCTGCCTCGCAGTGGCCTCACTAGGTCCTGCTCATTCGTCAGGGGGAACGGCCTTTCCGGGCCCAGCCTTTGCCTTTTGGCGGCCTCTCCAGGCCCCGAACTTCCTCAGGCCGGAATCTCCATGCCCAGTTGCGGCCTCCCGGCCTCCCGTCCGGGCCCAGCTCCTCCTGCTCCCGGCTGCGGACGCGGGCCCAGGCCCGGCCTCACGACAACCTCCTTGGACTCGGCTCCGGCCCAGC